TATGAATATTATAGACTCCTTCTTTGATCAAGCATTTCTCTCTTAAGAAGGCCCTGAACACTGGCAGCCACTATGACTCATGTGTACTTTGTAGATGTGGTTGTATACACCTACACTCAAACCACAGAAAGTGTGGGATGCTCCCTCACCCTGCCACTCTGCAGATTTATCTGTAAAACCTGCATGTGAAAATAGATACACAATGGCCAGAAGACTCTTATCCCATTTAGGAGAGCCTTTAAATTACAGTTTCATCTCAAATTCTTACCCTATAATACATGTAACAAGTTAAGTTATTTTTTTCCCAGAATGTACAAGTCAATGAATAAAAAATGATTTGATTATTCAGTATGTACAAGTAATCACTAACCTAACATGAATAGTAAAGCATGTTATAGTGTCTAGTGTTAGCCTAGTTGTTTTGTCTGTAAAGCAACTTGTTTAAAATCGTTCCTCAAACTCTTCCTTTTCAGCCAGAAATCAGGAGATAAGGGAATGATTTACTTCACTTAACAGCATTTCAAGCCCAATGCTAATGTGAAATTCTGGTAACTGTTTTCCATCATTGTCATCAGTGAGCAGCAATACTTATCTTCCTCTCTTGAGATCTACATCTTATTTGGTCGTTTCGACATCATGCTAGGCTAGTAACTGTAATCCATGCAAGCTGTCTCACTGCTCTTGTTGCCACTGAAGATATGTGTGTGTGTGTATATGTGTATGTATGTGTGTGTGTGTGTGTGTATCTTTCCTGATGTGTGCTTAAGGTACGTCCATGCAAAGCAAAAGCCCTCTTTTCATCAAGTAAAAACAATTCCAAAAGTTGGAATGGGGGAGATGGATGAATAGGCAGAGCACAGAGGAATTTTAGGGCAGTGAAACTACTCTTTATGTGACTGTGACAGTAGATACATGTCATTCTACGTTTGTCCAAACCCATAGAATGTACAACACCAAGAGTGAACTCTAATGTAAACTAGGGACTTTGAGTAATAATGATGTATCAGTGTTGTGTCATCAATTTTAACACCGGTATCACTCTGGTGGGAGTTGTTGACAAAGGGAGAGGCTAAAAATGTGTGGGGTCAGGGAGTCTAATGGAAATCTCTGTACTTTCCCCATAATTTTGCTGTGAACCTAAAAATGCCCTACAAAGATAATGTCGTTAAAAACTACAAATATAAAACAGGGGCTGGCCCCTTGGCTGAGTGGTTAAGTTTGTGTGCTCCACTTTGGCGGTCCAGGGTTTCTCCAGTTCAGATCCTGGGCTCGGACATGGCACTGCTGTTCAGGCCCTGCTGAGTCAGTGTCCTACATAGCACAAACTGAGGCACTCACAACTGGAATATACAACTAAGCACTGGGGGTCTTTGGGAAGAAGAAGAAGACAAGAAGAAAAAAAGAAGATTGGCAACAGTTGTTAGCTAGGTGCTAATCTTTTTAAAAAAATAATAGTAGTAATCCCCAGCTATAAGCATTCTTGACTTCATACACCAAAGCAGTGATGGATGGCTAATTCTTCTTTAGAATCTCCTGTAAGATAGAGTGGCTTCCAAGGGGAAGGAGGAAAGAGTAAAGAACACAAAATGATTTTATGAAGTTTCCCCTTTTACGGATAAATGGAACTTAAGAACACTCAGTTCATGAACTGAGTTGCTAGGTTTGTCGTGGTTTAATAGAATAAACCTATAAGTATCTAAGTTATTTCCATTTCTCTTTTCTATTCTTATTGATTGCCATCATTTTCCAACTTCTCCCTTTTCTCATATACTCACCCAAGGCAATATGAGAGAATAACAGTGCTAATACATTATCTGATTGAAATGCATTACATTTGATTTGCACCATAAAATGGAATTAAAATGAAAAAGACAACTGGATTTCTTGGTGCAGATTTCTGATTTTGCAGGAAGATGACATTCATCATTATTCGTGACATACGACATGCATTTTCAAATCTGACAGTATCAGGCTGACGAAATATGCATTTAAAGCATAAAAGGAAGCCCCCCCAAAATTTAAAACATATTATCTCAATCCACTTCACTGAAAATATGAATATTCCTGCATTAATTAAGAAGTGTGTTTATGTCAAGGACTTGAAATTGTGATGCCCAGAAAGATACTCATAATCGACTTTTTATTAAAAACAAAACAAAATTCTCTATCTAGGGTGAAATTTTATAATATTTAAAAAGTTTTTATTTTTCTAAATTACTTGTGAACAAAATTTCAAGACTGAAGTATAAATGTAAAACTTTAAAAGAAAAGCAGTTGCCCTTTGCCTTTTCTGTGGCACTCATATTTAACTTATACATGTCTAATTTATTCTCATATTTACACTTAAGAAGCTCGTACTGTTATTTGTTTATTATTATCTATTGTACACTTACTATAGAATATGAGTCTTAAGCTATTGCGTTACACTGCCCCATATATTTCACTGCCTCACAAACTCCCAATACAGTTACATAATAATAGTTATATCCATATTAAATGTCAATGTGAAACATAAGCCAAGTTCATACTAAGTCAAAAGCTGAGTGAAAAAACAAATTTGTTCTGTGCATGAGATTGTCTTGAATCTGTAGAAAAGTAGCAAAGAATTGACATCTTCACAGTATTATGTCTAGCAATCCATAACATAGCATGTCCTTCCATTTGTTTAAAAATTCGTTATGTTTGTTATTAAATCTAAACCAATTGATTTTTATATATTAACTTTGTATCTATGTTATTCCATACTAAACTTCCTTAATAGCTCACCTGGTAATGTCTGATATAATAATGTCTATAGGTTCTCAAGGATTTTCTATGTTCAAAGTCATGTGAACTCTGAATAATGACAGTTTCATTTCTTCTTTCAATTCTTATGCATTTTGTTAGCTCTTTTCTTGACTCATTGCAGTAAGACATGAATAAAGATTAAGGAAAAATGGAGATAATGGATGGTTTTGCCTCATTTCTTATCTCAGAGGGAAATGTTTCAATAATTCACCATTAACTATGATGCTTCTTAAATGTTTTTTGTGTAGACTCGTTATAATATGAAGGATACTCCTATGCATACTCAATTTTATATGAGTTTTTATCAAATGGATTTTATCAAATGTCCCTTTGCCTCTATTGAAATGATTATATAATTTCCTTCATTTTTAAACTTTTTTGCTACTTTTAATGTGATGAAATATATTGACTTGTGTGTGTATGTTTGTATATTTGCTATTGTTCAGGTTGGGTTAATTTTATTGTTCTGTCCTCAAGTTTACAGATTCTATTTTTGTCATCCTCATTTTATTATTCAGGCAGTCCAGGAAGATTTTAAATTTATGTTAGTGCATTTTTCAGTTCTATAATTTTCACTTGGTTCTTTTTCATAATTAACATTTCTTTGCCGAAATTTTGTAATCTTTCATTTGGTTCAAGAGGATTTGTCATTTCTTGTTGAAATATTTCTATTAGGGTGGCTTTATATCCTTGTCAGATAATTCCAGTATATGATTCATCTAGTTACTGTTAGTTGATTACCTTTTGTCATTCAAATTGTGGTTTTCCTGGTTCTTGGTGTGACATGTTATTTTATTGTATCCTGGACATTTTGCTTATTATGTTAAGAGAGTCTAGCTCTTATTCATGATGGTTTTTTTTTTTCTTTTTAGCACAAATTCACTGCTATCACACAGGTTCTAGTCTAATTTTGTGGGCTGTGGTTCCATTGACAATATCATTTTTAAAGTCTATCTGGTACTACTGGTCTCATTGATTTACCTTGTGTCACTAGAGCTCCACTGTTCCCTACTGGTGCTGTTTGAGGAGGTGGAAGGAGCTTCCCCAGGGTGGGCGACCTGGTGCCACTAAGTGGATAGAGGGATGCTTTATCCAGCAGTGGGTAGATAATTCCTCCGATGGGTAGAAGTATTTAAGACATCTCACCTCTGTACTAATCCTCCAATCCTGGGGGACCTAATGAGTTCTTCTTTCTTCTTTATACCTTTCAGAGTTCAGTTAGGTTGTCTCTTGCATTTTCTTCAGTGTTACAGTTGTACTTACTGGGTGAATCAGAGAGAAATGAATCTATGCCATCTTGTTGGGACCAGAAGTCATTCTATTTGGCCTTGATAGACAATTCCTTAATGAATTGAGGTTGAACATGTTTTCTATATGTTTGAAAACAAGTTATGTTTCCATATCTATTAACTGCTTATTTACTAATTATTCTTAATTCTCCTCTTAGTTTATGTGAGATTTTAAAATTCTAAATATACTTATATCTTTTCCAGGTATGTTTCTGTAAATAATTCCTCAGCTTCTTGCACTTTGTTTAATATTGCTTACATCTGTCTTGATATAATTTTTGTTGAAATTGACAGTATTTTAACTGGCAGAACTAGACATGGTAATGCTATGATTTGGAAAGCGTTGAGAGTTATTGATAAAAACAGTCATCATCATTACTCCAAGTTTTAGGGGAATGGAAAAGAAAATATGCAATGATATACTAGGAAAATAATATATAATTTTTGCAGAAGAGTTTGAGTGAATTGGGGCAATTTTCTTTGCCTTGAATTGGCTCTCTGGTCAACATCTGCAGGGTCATTTATTCTTATATCTCCAAGTGGTGCATAATAGAGGCTCAATAAATGTTTATTAAATTAATAAATTCAGTGGCTTCAGCACTACACCTTTCTGTATGCTTCATGATCCCTCATATTGCCAAATATAGAGCATATACTCATGAGAACCTCAATAAATGCGAATGGAAGGTGATGACATTGTGAGTGAACAGGGACCATACAATGGTGGGAAGAAGAACAACGTTGATGGTTGTATTTCTGCAATGTTAGATAATTTATGCCCTCTATCTCTCATAAAATGTTTCTAACCACTAGGGAAAAAAGAGAAGTGGAAAAGACAACCAATCGTATCAAGGTTTTACAATCATATAAAAAATTTCATGAACATACTGATAATGGTTCCATTTTTATTCTGTTTTAATTTAGGTTCAGGTTCTTCGAAATGCTGGAGAAGAAGTTACCCTAACAGTGTCATTTTTAAAAAGAGCACCTGCTTTCCTCAAACTCCCACTGAATGAAGATTGTGCATGTAAGCATTTATGAAGAATAGATAAAATGCTCACATCATCATATTTACTTTCTAAACAATTATTTCCTGACAGTAATTGGTAATTTCTTTTTAAAGTTGAAGTTTCTGTCTAAATACAAAGACTTTTATACCACAAAACATTCTATTAACCCTTCTGCAGAGGAAATAGATATTATTTTTCATAACGTATTCACTACATTTACAACTATTTTCTAACCTATAATTGGAGGCATATATTTATTTTAAAAATGAATATCATATCAAATATATACATTTTGTATCTCTATTAAATTTCATTCATAACATTTGATGACATATCTTCTCTAACTGGAAAATGATATACTTTTATTTGGCTGCTGAACTTGCTAAGCAAGCACGTGCACTTAAGTTGTCCCAATGAGAACAAAGAGATTGAAGGAAGCACCAGTCTATGTGGAAATGTAATAACTTTGACAAGAGCTGCTTAAAAATTTCTGTATTATTTGTATATTTTGAAATTAAATGTACATTATCTAATTGTTAAAAAGTAAAAGAAGAATATTTTTGTTTGTTTGTTTTTCTTTTCTTTTTATTTTTGAGGAAGATTAGCTCTGAGCTAACATCTGCCACCAATCCTCCTCTTTTTGTTGAGGAAGATTGGCCCTGAGCACGGCTTGATAAGCAGTGCATAAGTCTGTATTCAGGATCCAAACTGTCGAACCCCGGGCCACTGAAGCAGAACATGCAAACTTAACCTCTGCACCACCAGGCCAGCCCCGAAAGAAGCATATTTTTTAACAAGTACAATTTTCATGCAATGCAAATTAAATGCACACACAGTTGTATTGTTTCTGACTAATGCACATGTTTGCTTAATCCACACTCCTTTATATCACAGAATGCTTCCCCTGTGCCTCTTCCCAAGAAATAGCCTAGAAATAGAAACAACCATTGATTTCATTTCTTATCATTATATATTATTTTTGCTTCTTATAGAACTTTTTAGAAGAGTCATACTGTATTTATTCTTTTATGTTGGCTTCTTTCATTATGAACTAGCACTTATGTTATATATTTCAGTAGTTGTTCATTTATATTGCTGTTATATTCCATCATATGAACATAGTATAGTTTTTTAATGCCTCATCTTATTGATAGATAAAAGATCTGTTTTCAGTATTTTGCTATTATAAATAAGGCTACTATGAACATTCTTGGGCGAGGCTTTTGGAAGTCTTACAATTTTATGTCACTGCTATAACTACTTAGGAATGGAATTGCTAAGTCACAGGATAAATGTTTAATTAACTTGTTAACAAATTGCCAAAGGTATTTCTAAGGTAGACATATATTTTAAAGACCTCTTGCCATCCACTCCAGCAATGTAAGAGAGTTCTGGTTGCTCTCCATTCATTCCAATATTTAATGGTCAAAGATTTTTTTCAGCCATTCCATTGAGTGTGTAGTGGTATCTTATTGTAGTTTTAATTTGCATTTCCCTAAAGACTAAGGATGATTAGCTCTTTATTATGTGCAGTTTGCATATCTTATTGGCAATTTGTATATCTTATTTGATAATGTGTCTGCTCAAATTTTGCCCATTTTTCTATTGGTATATCTTTATATTCTCACACTGCAGGAGTTTAAAAATTTATTCTGTATATAAGCCTTTTGTCAGTTATATGTGTTAGAAACACTTTCTCTCAGTTGATGGATATCTATATTTTTTACTAAAGGTGTCTTAGATTTGCAGAAGTTTTTAATTTTGATAAGGTCTAATTTACCACTTTGCTGTTGTTCTTATTATATATGGTTATTGCTTTTTGTATCTTCTCTAAGAAATATTTGTCTACTCCAATGTTGCACAGAGATTTCCTTACATTTTTCCTAGAAGATTTATGGCATTGGTTTTATGTTTAAATTTATAATCCATCTTATATTAATTACTTTTTTTGTGTCTGAGGTAGGAATCAAAAATCAAGGAATCACTTTATTTCCATTAATTTATGTGTCTATTGTTTCACCAAAAGCATAGTGTTGGTTACTGTAGAATTATAATGCCTCTAAAAAGTCACCTAGGACCGATTCTCCAACTTTGCAACTTTTCAAGATTGTTTGGTTATTCTAGGTTCTTTTCATTACTGCATACATTTTAGAAATAGCATGTCAATTTCTATTAAAAAAGTATTATTATTTTGAATTGGATTAAAGTGAATTTATAGGCAATGTGGAGAATTAACATTTTAATGACTTTGTCTTTCAATCTATGAACATTATATAAATTTCCATTTATTTATGTTTTAATTTTTCTCAGTAACATTTTTGTGTTTTCAGTGGGAAAGTCTTGCATATTTTTCGTTAAATTTTTTTTCAGCATTTTGTTTTTTCTATGCTATTGTAAACGACATTTTAAAAATTTCATTGTTATCTGTTGCTAGACAATGATAGAAATACAATTTATTTTTATATATGACATATTCTGCAACACAACTTAATTTTATTATTTATCCTAGTAGGATTTTATGTACCTTCTTTAAGTTTTTCTACATATACAATTATGTCATCTGAAAATAAAAAGTTTTGCTTCTTCCTTTCCAGTGTGTATTTCTTTAGTTCCTTTTTCTTATCTGTCACAATGGCTAGGACCTTTAGTAAAATTTTGAATGAAGTATCAAGAGCAGACATTCTTCTGTTGCTTAAGATATTAGGAGAGAAATTTTCAGTCTTTTACCACTAAGTAAGATATCAGCTATAAGTGTTAACTGCTGCCCTTTATTAGATTGAGGAAGTGCCCTGCCGTTCCTAGGTTACTGACAGTTTTTCTTTTGCTTTTTTTTTAATATGAGTTGATGTGTAATTGTCTCAAGTATTTTTTCCCACATCCATTGAAGAATTATATATGTTTTTGCTTTTTTATTTTGTTGATATGGTGAATTTTTAAAAATTGATTTTGAATGAGAAATCGAGCTTGGATTCCTTGGACAAACCCACATGGTCATGAAGTATTATGTTTTTTTATTTATTGCTGGTTCCAATTTGCTAATGTATTGCTGAGGCTTTTTTACAATCTATGTTCATGAGGGATATCCATATGTACTTTTCTTTTCTTGCAGTGTGTTAGTGAGATTTTGATATTAGAGTTTTTATGTCTTCATGTAAGTAGTGAAGTGGTAATTCGTCCTCTATTTCCAGAAAGATTTTAATGGTGATAGCACCTTTTTCTTCAGTGATTGAATAAATTCACCAGAGAAGCAATCTGAGCCTAGAAATATAATTTTTATCTTGATGAATTAATCTCTTGAATGGATGTAGAAGTTTTTTGATATTCTCTTTTCTTCTTTTGTAAGTTTTGGTAAAATTTTTTTCAAGGTTTTTTTCCATTTCAACTAAGTGGTCAATTTATTTTCATGAAGTTATCTATCATTTCTTTTTATTATTCTTTTTAATATCTGTTGGCTTGCAGTACTGCCACCTCCTTTATTCCTAATATTAGTAACTTGCATTTTCTCACTCTTACTAAATCACTTTGCTACGGGTTTTATTAATCTTTCCAAATAACTCATTTTTGTCCTCTTTAATTTTGTCTATTTTTTTTTCAATCTCACTGTTTTCCACTTTTATTTTTATTATTTTCTGTCTTCTATTTACTTTGTTTTAATTTGCTCTTCCATTTCTAACTTAAGATGAAATCATAGTTCATTAACTTTATATCTGTTTTCTTTTTCATGTATATATTTAAATCTTTAAATTTCATTCAATGGATGCTGTCACAGAATTTGACATGTTATGTCTTTATTTTATTTATTTAAAAATAAATATGTTTTAAAGTAACATGTGTTTGCCTTAAAAATAGCATCTCATAAGACCGAAATGCAGATAAACATCAAAAGTAGCTAATACAAAGTATACAATCCTTATGATGTAAAGAATGCAAAAACTATATCCATTTTATATATGTTTTGCTAGTATAGCAAAACAGCCTATTATTCCCTTCTTAGCATCAGGAAAATTACGGAAGTTTAAAGTAATAAAAGAGGAGAGAAAAATCATTTATTTTTTGAGTACATGGGTTAATATGTTAGGAATATTTCCTATGACCTCTAATATTCAAATATAAGTATAATAGTTCAAATAAAAATTGAGACTCAATTACACTAATAGCTCATAATTGTCAACATTAACAACTCCAAAAAAAGTAACCTTTTCAGAAAAAGTAATGAATCAGAAATCGAAAAATATATATTATAATCCTGACTGTAAAGATTACTAAATTGTGAAATTTTAGAAAATCACAAATCTTTAAGAAATGCATTACTCATCTTTAAAAAATAGATATTAATGAATTTCTTGTGAGGATGTAATATGAAGTTTTTTAGTTGTAGTTTCACAAAATTAGATAATGTCAATGAGGGTTTTTCCAATTATAGTACATAGCAAGAGCACTTATAAAGACAGAGCACATGCAAATCATTTTGCATCGTGGAAAATTATGGTACCTAAAGATAAGATTTACCAGTAGGTTGTAACACAACATTAAATAGAATTTTGGAGACAAACAAAATCCTACACTACTCTAAGTATGGTTCATAAGTGTAGGCCACTTTGTATAATGAAATGAAACAATGTTTTTAATAAGATTGTGTGTTTTCATTAATTAGGACTTAATTTTATGAAACCAGAGGTAAATATTTGTAGGTCTCTTTTAGGGCCTCACTTTAGTCACTTAGTTTACGTGTAAAACTCTGGCTTTGATGTAAGTGAAATAAAAATTCCTTTTACTACCTAACTGACTTGATGTATACTGAAATATAGAATGTAGAATGCATTGGTCTAGAATCTTCTGGCATTCTAACCAGTGTGGTATTGTGATTTTGTCTCCTGTAGGTGCGCCAAGTGACCAGAGCAGCGGGACATCTTCTCCTCTGTGTGACAGTGGCTTACATCTCAACTACCATCCCAATAATACAGTAAGATGACCATAGTTAAAACTAATTAAGAGATCAAAAAAAACCCAAGAAAAAAATACATAATTACAGTTTGCAAAAACTGCTATTGAATCTGGTTTTACTGATAGATTTGAAATCCTTGGTTGCTTCATCACTTAAGTATTATGATAAGCAAGGAAGTGAAAAATAAGCAGTTTAGTTATTTTTTTTAAAGTCATTTTCCTCCTTTCAGGTCTGTGTTTAGCTCTTTGTAAGAAATAGAGACTTTTAACTTCATGAGGTCACGCATAACATCATTAATTATTTTGCAACATTGCATATTATATGTAACTTTATGTTCTAAATGATTTGAGATGATTTTTATTTTGCAATTATTTAACTAAAAGTAGCTGTTAGTGTGCCAGTTGTTAGGATTTCTTAGCAATCTTCATGTACACTGGGGAATTAGCACAAAGTAAGAAAATCTAACCTACACGTTGTTAAAATGTAATGACCGTTAAACTATGCATATATTTAATAATTGATAAAATTGGCATGTTTGTTTTATATACATTTTATAAAATGTTATTTTTTATTTTCATTTGTATTTTCGAGTAAACAGGTTTTTTTCTTTCGTAAATATTCTTGAAAGTCCTTGCATTTCACCCTTTATAACACTCACGCATTCTATAGACTGCACACTTCTCTCTGGCCATAAGTCTAACAGTTATCCCTCGTGCTCACCGACATGAAGAGTAGCAGAGCTGACTTTAACTGGAATTTTATTCTTCTATTCCATCTATCAGGATATATAAGACATACAGGTGCTTCTTCTGATGTGTATGATTCATTCTCCATTTGAAATCCCTGACCTAATTGTGACATTTTACTTCAAACTACTCCTTGTGAACGTCATCGGGCTTGAGTGGCTTTCACTGTACCTAACTATACCAGTAGTGTTCCTCAGCTCAGAGCCTTAGGTCCCCAATTCTTTTATATCTATTATTGCTGGGGTTTTTTTGCTCCTGAAGAAGAACCCTTGGCAAGACCAAAGGTTATCTCTACGTGTGTAAACCAGCCACATCTGGGTGTATTTCATCTGACCTTCTCTTTTGTTTTTGTTGCCAGAGAAATAATTGTCACACTATAGATATTTAAAATGCTGATCTTTAGAAGGTGGCAAGATCTGAGTGACTTAAATATTGATTTCCTAATGAGAAAATAAATGAATATATACATTCCATGCTCCCATCAGTTCCCTTCTCAATTCTACAGATTTCTTACAATCTCCAGCCAAGTCTTTACCTTGTAGTAGTTGCTTTCCTCATCTTCTTCCCCTCCAATCTAGATGCTCTTGATACTTTCAATGCCCTTCCAGTCCCCTTCCCTGGGCTAGTGCAACCACCCCAGCTGCTGTGAGTATTTGTTGCCCCCATTCACAGCTGCTCCCTCTTGTAAGGAACCTCTCCCTGGGAATCAGGGCTCACCACTCACCCCCAATGACCTAGAAAGAGGGGTACAAAGGTAGGCCCCTTGCAGGGCCTCAGCAGATGACATGGAGACCTTGCTTCAGGACCTCAGCTCTTTAGTCAGGTTGTTCACTGCCTCATCCACTCTTCCCTCAGTCCTCACAGGTTGCTCCTGAGAACTTTCCCTCCACATATCCCCCACACAAGAATCCCCATCTCAGCTCTGCTCCTAAGACAGGAGGAAGAGCTATTTTGCTTTAGTGTGGCAGAAAGATGCTTGGTAATATTTTATTAATTCCTGTCCCATGCCTTTGGATACCTCTATAATAATGAGAAATAGATAAGTCAGAGTGGATGGCCTATGGGTAAGAATCATTCTGGTTTGTTTTTAACTCATTCCATTGGCATACACAAAAATCCTATAGAATTAATTTTATTAATTGTGCCTGTATATGGTTGCATGATACAAAGTCTTCCTTTAGAAAGCTATAATTAGAGCAAGAAAATCACTCAGTAATTCTATAACAAGAGTGTACCAAATCATTTGTCATAAATATTTCTTACTAGAGTCGTGTATTTCCATTTTTAAGAGGCAAATTTTATTTTTACTTTTAGCCTTGGGATTGAACATTATTTTGACATAGCTGAAGATCTTTAAGTGTAAGAAAATTAATGGTACTTCTCATGATGCTTTAGAGAATAAAATAAAAATCAAGACTTATGTAAATTCAAATAAAGTATATTAAAAATAAAGACAATAAACTCAATGTATTTCAATTAAATGAATATTTACTGAGAATCTATTCCATGGAAACACTCTTCTAGGTACTAAGGGGAGAAGCTAATTATGGTCCCTGACCCAAAAAGTTTAAAATCCAGATCTTTACACAAATGCATAAAATTAACTGAAAGATAAGCAGAAAAAGAACAATGGATATTAGCATTCGAGACTTTAAATATCAACTTAATTGGCCTCAACAAAAATTGAGAGACTACGAACCAAATATGTGCTCTGTTTCCCACCTGGGAATTAGGCTTCAAGCCTGATGAGATCATGCAGACTTGCCCAGCTGGTGCCGCCTATGTTTCTGTTCATGCCTTAAATAGGCTTTGATGCAGGAGTGGAGAGTAAAGGACATTTCTACTCAGAGGTTTATAAAATTAGGAGTAGTCTGACATATCACTAAACAACAATGAATAGTGGAAATTTGGAAGGAAGTGTGCATTGTGAAGCCTGTTTTCCACAGAATGTGTACATGTTATAGACAATCTCCTTAACAGAAACATTCAGTTTTCTGATGTGTCTAAATCCTCAATTCTATCCTGGGACCAGGTAACTCCATGTTAAATCCCTATGCCTTAATTTTCAGAGAATAATTAGAGCATTAATCAAAGCAAATTTTGAGTAAGAAGGTGCCATTCTAGTTTTCTGAAACATCCTTAATGTATTTTAAGGCATCATTTTAAGCAAATAGGAAAATAGCACCTTATATCACCTTACATCACTCCACCGTCTTACATAAAAACATGGTCTAGTCCTTCTAAGGACTTGAGGTCACCAATTTTAGGATACATGAGAATCACCTGGTTTGCCAGCCGAGGCGGAGAAGAGGAATTGCTTTGTGCCCACCAGGAGACTTAAATTCAGGTAATTAGCTAACCAGGTTCTGAGAAATATTTTTCTTAGCTATATACCTTTAATGAATCCTTTCTGTGCCAACTCCTTAACAAAATCTGGATCAACATTTTGCCCTGTATGCAATTCTATTTGGGTAGATAATTGTTCTTCATGTTATTGTGTGGCAAGGTACCTTGAAACGTGCTACATTTTGAGAAAAGAGTCTATTTTATGTATTTATTTTTTGAGGAAGATTAGCCCTGAGCTAACTGCTACCAATCCTCCTCTTTTTGCTGAGGAAGACTGGCACTGAGCTAACATCCATGCCCATCTTCCTCTACTTTACACGTGGAACGCCTACCATAGCATGGCTTTTGCTAAGTGGTGCCATGTCTGCACCCCGGATCCGAACCAGCGAACCCCAGGCTGCTGAGAAGTGGAATGTGTGAACTTAACCACAGCGCCACCGTGCCGGCCCCAAAGGGGTCTATTTTAAAGCAGACTATGTAAATGCCACTTTTCTCATTCACACTATTAATATTATAGGAAACAATATTCTTGATGAATAAAGCTCTTGAAAAGTAGTTATGAGCCTTAAGACCATAAAATCATAATGTTTTGGATCGTTTTTATACAATTAAAACTAATTCTAAGACTACTGCTACAGAAAAAGACAAGAGCAAATTTATATTCTCCTTTCATAATTAAAATAAATAAGGATAAATAATCTTCGAAGAACATTAGCTATTCCACTATAAATAACAGATTTGTAAAATGAAATACATTAACCCTTATTAGTTTAATAGCTGAAGTGGGACTTGTATTTTTTATAAGGAGGAAACATAAAAGGAAGTGAGGTATTTATAACTTTGGTATGTAAAGGCATCAGGTTGAGATGCTACATCATAGACGTGTCAAAGATCACATGTATTTTCATATCTTCCAATCCATGAAGTCTATAAAATGTAATTTATAAAACTAATGATACTCGTCTATTGGTGAAGGGAGCTATTTGTACTTTTCATGAAAGACGAGGAACTGTCTTTAAATAATTTGCCTAAATTATGTAGCAAAATTGTGAAATAATCAAGACAAAAATCTGAATTATTCTTTCCATCATTTCACCTTTGATTGTGAATGTGAAATGTGCTATGAAAGTGTGTTGGCTCAGGAATCAGAAAGATGTAGGTCTGAGTAAATCCCGGCACTGCCATTTTCTGGCTGGATGACTAGGGTAGATTATTTACTGTAAAACTTCTCAGGATTGAGCCATGTGCACTAACGTCCTTTGAGAGTGTTTCATCCATACGCTATATGGGCTTAGCTATAGAGCAGTTTGGTGCCACATGGGACCCTGATTAACCCTATGGTCAGTTCTGGCCTGGCCACAGAAACTTAGTCTGTTTACCCTAGTGTGTCACATAGGGTTATTATTTCAAGTGCCTTATGCAGAAAAGATGGGTAAGCAATAATTTAATGCTTCTAGAAAAGCTTTAGGTTTTGCCTTGGTAACAAGAGCCTTGTGATAGCCTTATCTTTGGAGATAGGCACGGTAAGACATACAGAGTTGAAATAACCTGTCCCTAGGTTAAAGGCCTAGTCAGTTGGGAAATTGGGATTTTGAACCCAGGTGGTCTGATTCTGATTCAGAGCCTGAGCTTTCACTACCCTGTTGTCCTGCCACCTAATTGACCCCTGTGTCATATGCTGACCATCTATAACATCTGACAGCAAGGCCAGGAGAGCAACATGAAACCTAGGTTTGTGCCCTTGCAATTACCCGATAAACATTAAAAGCAACTGTCTTGCATCAAAGGATAGGTGTCTGAGAGAATATTTACCAACCAGTAAGGGGCCCCTCACTGCGTGATCTTAGCCAGTTCACCTTCGCTGTATTCTAAACTGCTGTAAGGATTTAATAGATTTTTATTGGCACAGTTGGTGACAATTAACATGATAATGCCAAAGAACACTCAACCTTGAGTGAAAACAATGGAAGGTTTTTGCTCCTAAGCAATTTTGAAGAAATTGAAACCTGAAAGAAAAGGTTAATAATATTTAGACTAACAAAGTTTCAACATCAAGACTTAAATAGAATCTTCTTCTAACATCATCACTCAAAAATTATAGAATCTATAGAATAGAAAGAAATCAGTGTTGGTAGCTCCCTGATCAAATTGAGACTTTGCCCCTACAGCTGATGCCAATTTAAATATCAACATTATCCCATGTACTAGTGCTAGGAAGGAATTTTAGCAATGAAGCTGACACGATGAAAGAAACATAAATCAACATCAAGTGAAAAGCTCAAATTTTATTCAAATATATGTCTGTTCTATACATACATAAAAAACCCAAACTTGTAATGAAACTTAAAATACTTGTAATTTTAAACCAGCAGAAGTTGACTGAACATGACATTAAGACAATATAAGAAAATACAAACATTTTATAAACATGAAGTTAAAACGATGGACAAAGATTTACTTGAGTAGTTTTAAAAAGTTGTTTTATAAGTGCATTCATTCTATTCAAAAATATTTACTACTAATTGATAATTCACAGGACTTATAATAATCTCTAGCACCTGGGAGATACTCAGAAAGTATTGGCTAATTGAATGAACTACAACTTATTTTTATTTTTGTTACCTACTAGCAATTCAGTGTTCATTACAATTACAGTTTTGCCCCATCTTTCCCCTTCTTGAATGAATTCAGCTCTGCACACTTCTGTTTTTTTCTTCCTTCTCCCTGCTCCATTTTTTTCATATGATTTACTAACATTCTCAATTTCAATGATTTCCTCCTCAATTTCTTATTAGAATTCCATTAATGAAGAAGTTAAAGAATACAACTTTACTGTCAATGAATGTGGATTTTTTCTTGTGGTACTCTGTTCATTATTTAGGGGAAAAAATATTCCCCAAATGAAAAGGGTTTGTGACACACAAACTCAAAACACGGAAATGAGCAACACTGAATGTTTCTGTTCTTTTCAGGACACATTATCATGTTCTTCATGGCCCACCTCTCCAGGCTTGAGATGGGAAAAGCGATGGTGTGATCTTAGACTGATCCCTCTACTTCATTCACGTTTCTCTCAGTATGTGCCTGGGACAGATTTGAGTCGGTGAGTTCATGTTAGTGAGTTCTGATTTCCGGTTGATTGAAAATGAGACCTGTAGTCAAACTTTTAACATAATATGCCTTATAATTCTTATTTTCAGCATTTTTCTAATAGTAGGAAGAAGAACTAAAAGAATAGTATAATGACAGTAAAACAGGAATCAGAATCTAGTGATAAAAATCTAAGTTAAAACTCTGATTCTACTACTAACTTACTGTAATGGATTCAGGGTCTTTAATAGACATAGTTTCATTGTCTTTTTGTATTTCTTCTTGTGCTAGTTTTAGTAAGCTGTTTTTTTCTTTCTCAAGATAATTGTATAGTCCATTTAAGGAGTAAATTTATTTTCATGTAGTTTATCATACTCCCATATTATTATCTTTTGAAATAGGTGTGGGATCACTAGTAATGTCCTCCTTTTCTTTCTTTCTTTCTTTCTTTCTTTTTGTTTTCTGGTGAGCTAACATCTGTTGCCAATCTTCCTCTTTTTTCCTAGAGGAAGATTGGTCCTGGGCTAACATCTGTGCCAATCTTCCTTTATTTTATATTTGGGATTCTGCCACAGTGTAGGTTGCTGAGTGGTGTGTAGGTCTGTGCCTGGGATCCAAATCTGTGAACCCCGGGCCACTGAAGCAGACTGTATAAACTTAACCACTACACCACTGGCCTGGCCCCCTCCTTTTCATTCTTGAAATTTGTTTTTTCTCTTTTTATCTGAGTTTGGCTAGAGGGTTGTAAATTTATTTTTTTAAAGGTCTAGTTTTTAATTAATTAATTTTTTAAAAGGAGTAATTTTGGGCTTTGTCGCCGCTCTTCATTATATGTATATATTGTAAATTATGAGTTTCTGCTTCTTTCTTGTCTCCATTCCTTAATGTCTTTGACTTGATGTTTTTGTTCTTATAGTTTCTTGAGGTAGAAGTTCTATGGGTCCAGAAACTTTATTGTAAAAAGTGGTATTGTAAATATTTTAGACTCTAATGTCTTTGTCACAACTATTGGACTCTGTTTTTGTATCATGAAAACAGCTACAGACAATATATAAATGAATGGGCATGGTTCTGTTCCAATAAAACTTTATTTATAATAACAGGTGGCAGGCTTGATTTAGCTCATGGGTCATAGTTTGCCAACCCCTCGTTTAGTCACTAATTTTTCAGACTTTCTTTCCTACTCTATGTAGTTAGAGCTACACATTTCCATCAAAGCCTACTTTAGCTATACCCACAAATTTTAACATTACATCTTGGTTTATTTATAGTGTTTTTGAGTATATCATTTTGTATAGTTTTTTGAGTGGTTGCTCTAGGTACTACAATATGCATACATATCTTATCACACTACTGGTATTGACAATTTACCACTTTGAATGAAGTCTAGAAAAATTACTTTTGTGTAGGTCCCTTTATCATCTCCACTTTGTAAGTGTAATTATCTTAATTTCTTATGCATACATCAAGCACTGTATTAGGTGGTATTATGCTTCTTCCTTTAGTCATTAAAATGATTTAAAAAATTTGTGGAAACAAGGATAATCTATTATATTTAGCCCAATGTTTATCCACTCCAGTGTTCTTCTTTCTTTCTGAAGTTCCAAGCCTTCTGTTAACATTTCCTTTGTGTGTAGAGAAATTCATTTTAGCCATTCTTTAAAGGTGGATTTGATAGCATCAAATTCTCTTAATTTTCCTTTGCCTGAGAATATCTTTATTTTACTCTTATTCCCAAGGATAGTTTTCCTGGATATAGAATTTGGAGTTGACAATTCTTTTTCTTTCAGCACCTGGAAAATATTGTGCCACTGCCTTTGGGCCTCCATGGTCTTTCAAATTGATGTTCCCTATGTATAATATATTCTTTCTACCTTGTTTTTTTCTTTTTTTCTAATTTTCTGAAGTCAATTATGATGTCTCTTAGCACTGATTTCTTTGGGTTTATTCTATCTGGAATTCACACATCTCCTTAAATCTGTACATTTATGACTTTCTCCAAATTGTGGAATTTTTTGGACATTACTTCTTCAAATACTTTGTCAGTCCCCCTTTCTCGTCTCTCCTTCTGGCACTTTGTTGATACACATGTTAGTTCTTTTATTATTGTTCCACAGATCCCTGAAAATGTATTCTTTTTTTTTCAATCACTTTTCTTTCTATTATACAAACTCAGTAAATTCTATCGATCTGTCTTCAAGTTCTCTGATTCTATCATGTCATTTCCACTCTGCCATTGAGCCCAATCAGCATGATTTTATTGTTTTGTTGATGTGTTTTTCAGTTCCATCATGGCCACTTGGTACTCTCTTATAACTTATATATATTTTTTGGCTGAAATTTTCTGTTTTTTTATTCATTCCAAGAGCATTTGTAATTGTTTGTTGAAGTATTTTTATGATGGTTGCTTTAAAATCCTTGTCAAATAATTTCAACATCTCATTTATCTAGGTATTTGTGTCTTTGGATTGCCTCTTCTTATTCAAGTTGTGATTTTCCTGGCTTTGGTAAAACAAGTTATTTTTTAAAAATTTCGTCTTGAACTTTTTGGATTGTAAATTTTGAGAGTGTTGATTCTATTCAATCTTCTTTTCATAGAGAATCCCTTTGTTGAGGTATAGTATGAGGGCTAGATGAGTGTGTATGCTAAGTTCCTTGCTGAAACCATCCCAGCAACAGGGAAATGCTGACACTGACTGCATCGTTGAAGATATTTGAGATCTAAGTTTGGCATAGCACTCAGCCCTGTTGACCAAACCCTAGTGAAAGTCAGACACCAACTTGATTCCTCATTGCCTTTGAGTGAGGTGTCAGCTCAGTTCCTTGCTTGGCCCTGCTGCCACATGGGAGGGTAAATGGGCAGGGCCAATGCACATTTCTTTGTTGCTACAGGATGGTAGTAGAAGCTCAGCTCTCCAGGGAACCCTTCTGACAAAGGGGAGGGTATGGAAAGAAAGCTGAGACAACCAGCCCCTCCTCACTCTACCTCAGTGATGACAGGTCAGAGTTGAGGCTGAGCTCCCTGCTGAGCCATAGTGGTCAGTATGGAAGGGGACACAGAATACTGACTGGCCCCATCTCATACCATCTCACCCAGTATAATTGCTACATAGTGGGTACAGAAGTTCAAGTTCCCACTGGACCCCACTGACACTAACCTGGGGGAGAATTGGAATGCTGCCTGCTTCTTCCAAGTGGAGGATGGAAGATCAGCTTCCTTCTTGGCCTCTTGAACATCACCAGGTGGAGGAATCAGAGGATGGATGGAAGAACAGTTCTCTGAGGGGTCCCATGGAAACCTGGGGGGAAGGGCAGTGGTTCCATTGATGTTTGACTAATTTGAGCAAGTTGCCAAAAAGGTTTAATGCTTTCAGCCCACTCATTTCCTAGCCCTTTAATTAGGGAGAACAGACTTTCCTCAGAGCCTTTTTCTGACCTGCTGTTGGTGATTCTGGGTTGGAGGCTTCTAGACCATCCTGTCTACATACAATATATGGGAGGCAATAAGGAAACACAGGGGACTTAGTATCTTGTCATTCCTCAAGTCCCAAGTTCCCTAGGCAATCAGCTTTATCCTTTCACCTTTCAGAGACTGGTTTTACTTGCTGTTTGGTTATGCCCAAGGTTCTTTAATAGTATTAGGGAGCCCTCTTGGGAGGAATGGGTCTACTCTTGCTTGGCCAGGACTGGATGTCCACAAGTATTGATATTTATGTTCTTTCTTATTATCCATTTAATGATATTTTCTAATTTTTGTTATAATTGCCTCTTTGACTCATGGATTATTTAAAAGTATATTGCAAAATTTTAAAATATTTTGGAATTTTTAAGTTATCTTCCATATTGCTTTCTAGTATAATTTCATACTGAATGAGTTCAACCCTTTGATATTTGTTGAGACTTGATTTCACTCAGTGTATGAATAATTTTGGAAAATGTTTCATATGCACTTCAAAGAATGTGTGTTGTCATTTTCTTTAGTGCAGTGTTCTGCTTATTTCAAGTGGGTCATTTTTGCTCATTAGTGATTCTGATCCTCTACATCATTAATGATGTTTTTGTGTGTTTATTGTATCAGATATTGAGAGAGATGAATTGAAGTCTCCTACTATCATGGTGGCTTTGTGTATTTCTCCTTTTAGTTGTGTCAATACTGTTTAATTCTATGTTATTATATACAAGCAAATTTAGAATTTTTATAACTTCCTCATGTATGGTCCTTTTGTTGATATGAAATGCCCTATGTCTCTGGAATTGTTTTTTGCCTTCAAGAATTACACTACATATCTATTGGCTAATATTTACATTGTATATTCTTTTATCCATTTCTTCCAACTTTTCTTGGTCCTACTCTGTAAAAATATCTCTTCTAATCTGTATATATTTTGTCTTTTTTTTGGTCCAAAGTAAAAATCTTAGTCTTTTAACTGGATTATTTAGTCTAGTTACTTTTAATGTAATTACTGTTATATCTGGGATTATATCTACAAGTTCAGTATTTGTCTTCTGTTCAACACTCTAGATTTTGTTTTTTCTAATGAAGTAGTTTATCTTGAGATAATCATAGATTCATATGCAGTTGTAAGAAATAATACAGAGATTTTGTTTACCCATTTCCCAATTGGTAACAACTTGCAAAAATATAGCACAATACCATATTCAGGACATTGACATTGTAAAAACCATCACTCTTTCAGATATTCACATGTGTGAGTGCATGTATGTGTGTGTTTAGTTCTATAGAATTTTATCACATGTTCACGTTCCTGTATCCACCTACACAGTATAGAACAGTTCCATCACTGCAGAAATCCTCCTGTTGCCCTTATATAACCATGCCAGCATCCCTCCTCCCCTAGCACACCCCTAACCTCTGACAACTTGCTCACCTGGTTTTCATCTCTAATATTTTGTTATTTTAATAACATTGTGTAAATGGAATCCTACATTATGTAACCTTATTGGATTGAATTTTCTCACTCAGCACATTTCTCTGGTAATTATTCCAAGTAG